ACCTGAGATTGCCTGGACTGAAGACAAAATATTAAAGCTGTGTCTATTTTCATTTATTCATGAATACAAGCTATTAGGCATTACTAATGTCCAAAATTTACACTAATACTATTTTTAAGATTCTGTGAAGTACTAAATACTACTTTTAAGAATACATGTTTATATTTGATATGGATAATGTTAGCCAAATAATTTTATTATACAAACTGTTGCTTTATCTAGTATATTAGTATAAAATATATGCAGTAATATAGATGAGGAAACCCCACTTCCTAGGCCTGTGCCTAATAGGTGCTTACGATGGACAGTTAAAGCTTGATGGATATTTAGTAAAGTGTGCACAGTGCCATCTAGTGGTGCACAGTCATCACTGCACAACATTTTCTAAAATGATTTGATGGCTTAAGAGTAAACAACATGTTTATACGACTGTCAGACTTTTCAAACAGACTTCCTAATAGCTTCCTTATGACTCTCAACTTAGCACATTTCTTAGTGTTCCTATTTCATTAAGCAAAAAGCTTGTGATACCCTTTCAAAAATAATGAATGGATGTTAAGTAATTATTTAATAACTTATTCACAAAGCGCCACGTGAAATGCTTTATATGGATTATCTCATTTGATCCCCTCAATAACCCTGCAGTGGAGCAGCTGTTTTTTGTTGTTTTTCTGGAGCAACTCTTATTGTCCCCACTTTACAGATGTGGAAACTGAAGCTTAAGGATGTTAAGAGATTGCCCAATGTCAGTAGAAGTTGGTCGAACATACTGTCCAGGAACTTGCACAGTTCTGCACTGTGATCTGCAGCTCCCATACTGGTTACCAGTGAAAGTTTCCAAGAAGTCTCTGTGGAAGAGGGCCTTCCTCACCCCCCTCTACTGATCAACTGTGTCCAAATCAGTTCAAACTCCACCAACTCAGAATTCATGACAGACTGAATAGGATCCACTTTTATGGCTGGGATGTAGTTTAAGCTTCTTTTAGAGCACCTATATAATGTATGTGCAAAGTTGCATGTTAATTGGGTTATTAAATTTGGGGGGACTGTGCTGAAGCTTACGTTTGGAGTCACAGATCTTGTAAATTAGTAAGAAGAAAGTATGGCTATAAATCGAAGGTATTTAATTATTTTAACACTAACAGCTATCATTCATTGAGCACCTATGTGCCAACTCTGTGGTTAGCACTTGTCTATACTTTTTCTTTCTCCTCACTACAACTCTCTCTGGTTGGGATTCCTCTCCTTATTTCTAAAAAGGAAATAATAACATGTATAGGGGAGAAATAACTTGCCCACAGTTATCAGGGGAGCCAGTAGTGAAACCTCAATCTTTGTGATGACAAAATCTGCCTTCTGCCACTCTTGGAAGATAAGTATGTGTAATGTGCGTGATTACAGCTTTTTTGTGCACTGCCATGCCTCTGCAAAAATGCCAGCATCCCGGGGGGGCCCCGGGTGGCTCAGTCGTTCATTCGACTCTTGGTCTTGGCTCCGGTCATGATTTCAGGGTCAGGGAATCCAGCCCTGGGTTGGGCTCCATGCTCAGTGGGGAGTCTGCTAGAGAGTCTCTCCATCCCTCTCCCTCCGCCTCTCCTCTTCCCTTCTAAAATAAATAAATGAATCTTTTAAGAAATAATACCACCATCTTTACAGGATGCCTGGGTGGCTCAGTCGGTTAAGTGGCTGCCTTCGGTTTGGGTCATGATCCCAGTGTCCTGGGATCGAGTCCCACATCGGGCTCCTTTCTCAGCAGGGAGCCTGCTTCACCCTCTGCCTCTACCTCTCTCTGCCTGTGCACTCTCTCTCTCTGACAAATAAATAAATAAAATATTTAAAAGAAAGAAAGAAAGAAAGAAAGAAAGAAAGAAAGAAAGAAAGAAAGAAAAAAAAGAATACCACCATCTTTCCTGGGACCACAGCAGCAGGCTCCAGCCACTTCTGCCCTGCACGCCTGTCCATGTCAATTACTCTTTTCCCTTACAGTCTGAAATGATGTCTTTAAGCTGCATTTCTGAGCATGTCACTCTATTTAAAACCCGTGTCTTCATACTGTCAGCATAAAGACTCAAATACCTGCCAGAGCTACAGGGCTCCTCCAGCCTTATCTTGTTCCTCTGGCCTCTTCGCAAACCATCTCCTAATCCCATTTTGTACCTAGCACCCTGTCTGTCATGCTAGGCCATCATTTCTGATTATCTGTGTGATTGTGAATCATGTCTCTATCCCCACCTGACTGTTAGTTCTCTGAGGCAGGAACAACATCTTCGCATTCTGAACCCAGACAAATCCCCAAGGACTAGATCCAGAGAATCTCTAGATGAAGCATAAAGGGAATAAATATAGGAATCCCAGTTCCCACAGAAATTAATTTAATTCCTCAAGAAATTAAATAAACAACTTATAGATGCCATCTCCTTGGAAGTACTTTGGTTGCCAAATTGAAAAACTGGATGAAAAGCATTAAGAAACAAATAATTTCTGGCGCGCCTGGGTGGCTCAGTTGTTAAGTGTCTGCCTTTGGCTCAGGTCATGATCTCAGGGCCTCAGGATCGAACCCCACATCGGGCTCCCTGCTCAGTGAGAAGCCTGCTTCTCCCTCTCCCACTCCCCCTGCTTGTGTTCCCTCTCTTGCTGTGTCTCTCTGTCAAATAAATAAGTAAAATTTTTGGAAAAAAAAAAAAGAAATAAATTTCCTTGTTGTGTGATATCCAGAAAAGCTAACAAATTTGCCATCACATAAATCTGAATTGCTCCAAATCTAATAAACATTTAAGTATTTCAGTTAGAAAGTGATTTGCATTCTTCTATCCCAAATCAGAGATATGCTACAGAGTTGTGTTTGTTTGGTTTTGGGTTTGTTTTTTTTTTTACATGATTTACATTGTTCATTTGTTCAAGTGTAATGTACTGTCTCGGTGTATCAGGCACTCCCACAACTGACTTCGTGATTTTTTTCCCATTTAAGGAATACCGTCCCTGCTTTGTAGATGAGGAAAATAAAGCTCCAAGTCTCTGAGGTTAAGAGGGCATGCACTTGTAGGAGGAGAGCCATGTTTGGACGTAGGTGTTCAGACTTCAAGTCCAGTGTTTATTGGAAGATTCCCAAGCCCAAAATTCAATATATGTTAGTGTTGTTTTTTAAATATAGTGTTACACATGAGCAAAGAGGTAGGAAACTAAAACTTGGGAGTTGGTAGGAAAGCATATATGGAGTGCTCATTTCTCAGGAACTGAAACATAAGTACGTATTTCACTGAGAAAGACAACAGATTTGTTTTCAAATGCAAAGGTGTCATGAAAAGCGAACCTTAAATTTGGTGTCACTGAAGAGAAACTGGAATTCTCATACCTTGTTGTTGTGGATGGAAAATAGTACAACTATGTTGGAAAACACTTGGGAAGTTTCTCAGAAATTAAATGTACACTGACCATACCACCTAGGCACTTCATTTCCAAGTATTTACCAACAGAAATGGAAGCATATGTCAATACAAACATTTGTGCAAGATTGTTCATAGCAACTTCATTCATGATCACCCAAAACTGAAACAACCCAAGTGTCCATTAGCAGGTGAGTTGATAACCAAATTGTGACCTAAAAGAGTACTGCTCAACGGTGTAAAGGAAGAAACTATTGTTACATGCAACAGCACAGATGAGTTTCAAGATAATTATACCAAGTAAAAGAATCCAGACCCCTCCCCAAAAAAGAGTACATACTGTATAATTCCAGCTATATAAAATTCTAGAAAAGCATTTGGAAGCTCTATCTGTGGTTGCCTGGGATGGGAAGTGGGGTGAATTAAAAGGAACAGGAGGAAACTTTTAGGGGAGATGGTTTCTGGAATGTTATAACAGGACCTCAGCACAAACAGGGAAGAAAGAGAAATGAAATTCTTGATATCCTAGTGAAACTAACCATGACTTCAGCTTGGTGAGCTACTCAATAATATAAGCCAAAGAACTGTTTGTTCTTGACCAGGTTGGTCAAGGGATCTGTGTTTAAGTTCTGCTGCTGCCTTCTAGAGATTACTTTTCCTTTTTCCCCTGCCTCTCTTCCTGCCTTCCTTAACTTTTCCCCCTTTATTTCAAACCTTATACTACGAAAAATATATAAATAAATGAAAATATTTTAAATAAATGCAGGTTCGATATCTTTTCAAACACTAGAATTTGAGTGTGGTTTGCTCTTTCTTTTAAGGGGTCAGTGTGTGCCTTGGAAAAATGCTTTCAAGCCAGATAGACTTGTTAATTTTAATCACAAGTGCTGTATACTTCAAAGTTGCTAAGAAACTAGATCGTAAATGCTCTCACCACAGAAAAAGAAATGGTAATTATGGGACATGACGTGTTCGCTAATGCTACGGTGGCAATCACATTGCAATACAGAAATGTATCAAAATCAACATGTCGTACACCTTACACTTAAACTTACATGATGTTGTATGTCAGGTACATCTCAATATTTTTTTCAAATTTTTAATTTAATTTTTAAATTTTTTAATAAACATATAATGTATTTTTATCCCCAGGGGTACAGGTCTGTGAATCGCCAGGTTTACACATTTCACAGCACTCATCATAGCACACAGATCTCAATATTTTTAAAAAGTCAGAAATGGATTTGAATGCCAGTTTTGCCGTCCACTGGCCTTGGACCTTGGCATTTGTCAGTTAACTTCCCTCACTTTCTCTCACGTAACATAAAGATAGTAGTTGTATTTCAAGGGTCATTTTGAAGATTGGCAATAACCATCTACTGTGGTTTTCAGGAAATGATTTTCTTGCTATTAGACATATCAAGTCTTTGAGCTCTTCTTTGTCTCTGTACATTTACTGTGTCGTAACAACTGTGTCGACCCCTACAGAAATCGATCCCATATTGAAGGCTGTGAGGGTCCTCGACAAAACCAGGCCGACGGTACGTGTAAAATAATGAACTTAACCTTTCCCCGCATTTTGGGCTGATGTGTTCCCTCTGCTTTAATTGTGTGTAGTGCACCTGGTGGACATTTGGAACGTCATAGAAGCATTGCGGGAAAATGCTCTGAACAACCTGGACCCGAACATAGAACTCAGTGTGGCCCGCTTGGAGGCCGTGCTGTCCACCATTTTCTACCAGCTCAACAAGCGGATGCCAACCACTCACCAAATCCAGGTGGAGCAGTCCATCAGCCTCCTGCTTAACTTCCTGCTGGCAGCCTTTGACCCGTAAGCTCTCTCTTCGGATATCTGTTCCTCTCCACATGTTTGGTCTCTCCTTCCTCTTGTCCTTCTTGGTCTTTCTTCCAAATAATTTTCTGCAAGTAACCAACCACCTCTTTTTTTCTTGATCAGATACTTACCTCAATAAAGTCGCTCTGTGTGTAACGTCCATTTCAAATGCTCTGGAGAAAAACTAGGGAGTAAAATAGAGCCATAGGAAGTTGAGGACAGTCGTATTTTCTAGGCTGACCTTTATTTAACTCATCCAATGCTTCCTAGAAGCTATGGTTGTCTGAAAGTGTGGCATGATGGCATGCCTATGGAGCAGTTCAATGAAGCATAAAGTGGGAGGATGTTTTTAACTCTCTTCTTTGCAGATTGTCTAAGACAGTGTTTCTGAGGTGTCATAACAAGACCCTAGAGCAAACAGACAGAAATTGACAAGGGTTTCCTGACCAGCCTGGTGAAAGTAACCATGACTTGCATTACGGGATCCGTCAATAATGTGCCATCTAAAGCCATGTCATGCCGTCCACACAAGACAGTTGAAACTCAGCCACATTATCTTATAATTTCTTCTCATAGAATCAGAGGATTTCAGAGCTGGCTGAAATATTAAAGATTGTTCTTCCAAATCTCTCATTTTACAGATGAAAGACCTGAAGCACAAAGAGACTGTGGCTTGTCCAGTGTCTCTCGACTGGTTAGGGGCAGAGTAGGGATTTAGGTATTCAGCTAAGATTTCTTTTCCAAGGCATATGTGGCAGCCTTGTGAATTGTAAAAACTCCCCTGAATTACTTTATCAGCCTAAGATTTCAAAAGGTCTTTTGCTGATAGCCTCTAGTCCAGATATAGTATCAACATCTCCACTTTCACTACTGGTTTTGAATATTAAAAAGGAAAATTGCTAACTTGACCTTTCAGCGATCGCATTTTAAGACTCTCGAAAGATTTTGCTTAGTCTCATTGTCTGGCCAATGCCTGGAAATATTGAAGCCCGGCACTGGAGATGTTCCAGCCCAGCTAATGTTATTATGCCACTCATAAAAGTCACCAGCTGTCACTTTACAGCCTAGAGTGGTAAAAGAATTATTTGTGCTCAGTTTGACCAGTGTAGATTATTGTCTTGGGATGTTTATATTTTGAGTAATTCTTGAGTTGAAATAAACAGTTCTAAAATAAGCAGTTCAGCTTGATAGATCCCATGCTTAGCCTATGCAGACTTCAGAACTGATGTACTGCTTTGGCCTAATCACTATGGTAACCGAGTGGCAGTCAAGTAGGGGAGGCTATGGTTCCACATGACAGGTGACAGAATGGAACCAGGCTATGGAATGACTCTAAGGACATTTCCATCCTGCCCCCTTGACAAGAGCACAGAAGCTTCCAGACTCGCCGCTAACATCTTCAGGGCACTTATTTGTTTTAAGTGGAACAATGGAAAATATAAAAAGAGAACTAAAATTTTTGCCAAATCTTAGAGTATTCCTGAAGGATTCGTAAGGGCTCAAAGGTAAAAAATAATTTGTATCTACTCCGTAAGTACAGAAATGGGGCCAGATTAACAATAAGGAAGGGGGATTTTATGAAATACATGAGAGATGTGATATATACATATCTTATATTTTATATGACACAATATACTGTACCTCAGTACTTCTCATGTCTTGAGAAATATACAACAGACCATTCCTCAATACTTCTCATGTCTTGAGAAATATACAATAGAGTTAGTTTTTTATTTCTGTTTGGAAATATTGGGAAGATCACTTTGAAAAAAATGACCTGCATATATTCTCTAAACAGCTACTGATAATTAGTTCAAGATTGATGAGTGCTAAGCTTATGGACTATCCCAAGGTAAGGAAACATTGACATGAATATTCAAATGGAATTATTTGTTTGGCTCTTCCTCTTCTTACAGATAAAAAGGGCCCTGATGTATACTTCCAATAATCTCATTGTAGTAGATTTTTTTAAACATCCACATGGAGAAATCTCATTTTACAGATCTACAGACACATCCACGTAGAGACCCCTGTCTACAGATACTTCTGCCTTCTCTCTCTTGGCATAGCAAATGAGTATAGGCAGTTCTGCTGATACTCACATTTCCATCTGATGGCTTTTGAAATTCTAGACGATGTGAGATGTGCGCCATAAGGAAGCATCACTAACTGGGAAGAGAATATAACCGGAAATATTCACTTAGAAGTGAATGTAAGAAGAGAAACTTAAGAATAAAATGAATGTTCAATTCCATTTCTTAAAATAGTCAACTCCTATTTCTCCAAAGAGATCCAGTGTGGAAATCTGGTGTCACTTCCTACCACCTATCCCACGACAGAACCCAAGTGTTTAAGGAAGCCTTCTGCATGTTGGTAGATGTGAATGAGCCCTCGTACATCAAAGATAGGTTGTTGCTCTTATAGAATCACTGAAACATTTGGGAGATTTTCTCTCATGTGCGGTAATTTAAATGAACATATAAAAACCAGGGGGGAAAACTCTAAAATAAAAATTAAATCCTGCATTCTAAAGAGGTCATCTATATACATTTTTTAAAAAAGAAAGTATAGCAATTTAAATTCATGAAGAATGAGAATAAGAAATTGCATTCAGAGAAACTTGGTCATTGTTTTAGTAGTGCCTTAAAATTCACCAGACCCAGTGAGGCTGAGTCAGCCATGACAATGGTAACTTGAAACAAGGTTCAAAGCCCACTGCGCTTGGCTGTGGCCCTGAGAGCCAGACTTGCCTTCTCACAGCATAGTTCCCCAAAACAGCACTCCTTCCTTCTCTCCCCCCAAAAAACACCTTGCTCTCAGTTTTCACACGGGCATGCTTACTGCAGACCGCGGTCAGGCTTCTGGTTCTAAGTTGTCTCCGCCAAGTCAGCCTCTTAGGAGGTAGAGAGTGCATAGCTGCATATGCAGGATGATTTCTAGAATGTTAGGACCTAGCATATGTGCCCAATGGCTCTACTTATGCTTGTCATTCTGTCTCTGAATAGTCAGGCTCTTGAGTCTAGAAGATTTTTGTTCTTCCTGACTTCCCTTCTAAAAATGTCTGTACCTAGCAGGAGTCAAGCTGTCATCGATTACCAGCTGACTGCTAACAGGTCTTTCCACCCCAGACACTGTCTTCTCCAGGGTCCTTAAGAAAATGGGCGGATACACCTGGAAAGAGTGGGAAAAAAGGTGTCAAAATTAGGGAGCAGGGACCGAAAGGGAAGAAAGATATTGGGAAACAGCCTGAGCCTTTCTCTCCATCTTGTCTCTTTCTTCTGCACACCTCAGGAATGAGCCTACTGCCTTCCCTTATTTGCTGACCACCTGGAAGCAGCTCTTCTTCTCACCGTTACTGTTATTTTTAAGGAAATAGAAAGTAACGACAGTAAAACAACATGGCAGCAAGTTACAAGATGACAATATTTTTTTTTCAACAGATTTATGGAGGGATAATTGTGATCTTGATATTAATTCTTAGAAGTCTATAGTGGCCTTCGGGGCGGGGGGGGTCGTCACAGAACTGGTCCACTGGGAAGCCCTTCCCCTCTCCTGGCTGAGCTGACTTCCACTGGCCCCGACCCCACTGTTCCTCACACGTGAATCCGCTCTTCCGTTACGGTGCATGTCTTACTGTGTGTATGACCGCCCCCCGCAAACTATTGCCGAGCGGGGTCGTGTCTCTTTACATGCACAGCCCGGAGACCGTATCCAGCTCAGAATGAACTTGTGAATGAATGAATGAATGAATGAAGATCAATGATTGACTTTTCTTAGCTCATCACACTGATTTCTTCTCATTCTTTTTCTGAAATCAAGTCCTCCTAAATCTCTAGTATCTTACCAAGACTAGTGAATCCAACTTTGCCTGACACCTAGGTTCATAACCTCTATTTTTACTTCTGCTCCACAAGAGAAGAAAATCAGATGTCTATGGCTACTAATGTGGGGGTATCCTATTTTCACCAAAAAACATCATCATAGTTCTCTTACTCTCTTCTTACTTCCCTGGGAAACGTGAACAACTTCAGTCTGTTGACTTCATCTCTTTTCAGTTCACTAGAATCTTCCTTCTTAGGGAAGGTCCTTCTCAGGTAGATTATGTGATAGTGGCCTTGTTTTTAGCAAATGTTTTCACATATATTCAGTTATACGAATATCACAGTAGGACAGTGATAAATATTAAAAGGAACAGGGACATTCCTATGATGTCAAGCTATATTATTAATGCCACTTCTCCAATGATAGTAATAATATACTAATTGTAATAACAGCTAATGTGTTGTCAGCATTTTCTGTGTGCCAACAATCCTCCTAGTTTGACACAGTGTGACTACAGGTGAGGTGAGTGGGGGAAAAAAATCCTTTTTTTCAGGCATCAGGATATATTCAGCTCTATTCATGTTTTCTGTTTCTTTTTCTTAAGGAGAATTAATGTACATTTCCCATGTAGGTAGGAATGTGAGCCTACCCTACTTTTCAGGATATTTTTATCAGGCTCACATTCCTCACCTTTCCAGTTTGCTGTTATTTAGACAATCTGACAGAGCGTATATGAAGGAAATATTTGGATTTAACTTTTATTACATTGTAGATTTCGAGTCAGTTTTATGACAGTCATCCAGAACTCCAAGTCTATCGTATAATAGTCTTTCACAGGGAATACAAAATCCTGGTATTTTCCTCTCTGCTTGATGTATTGCACCTTGCTGAGCCATTTGAACATCCATTCCCACTGCTGAGCCCCCCTGCCCTACCCCCTGGCGCTACGAAAGGTACCAACGGTGCTATTTCAGACGCATGGATATAGAATGTTCTGGAACTCTGCCAAAACCCTTCTGCCTTTTGAGTTTTAAAGATGATTTTGATGTTTAATGCAGGACGTACTACAAGTACGTGGCCCTTCTCAGTGCACCAATGAAATATATCGTTCACGTTTGACACTGTGAGGATGTGTGAGAGCAAAGAAAGAAGAGTTCTATCAAACCAAATGTTCT